ATATTCGGCCGTCAGTCATCCCGGTGCATTCGCAAGTACCTTAACAACCTCGCCGTGTCCGACATCACTCTGGCGCTAATGTCGATGCCATTCATGTACTCAAACATCGTCTTAGGACACTGGACATACCCGCACTTTCTCTGTCCAGTGGCGCAATTTGCACAGTTGCTCACCTCCTTCACCACCTCCAGTACTCTCTCAATAATCGGCATTGAGAGGTACATCATCACCCTTCACCCGCTCTCGCCAGGCGCCAGCTGGCTCAAGTCAAAGGGCTCCTGGCTTCTCATCAGCACCTGGTTTCTGGGAGCCGCCTACGCCTACGTGCCCACTTCACACACTGCCGTCGAGGACTTTATCCTCAACGGCGACCTTTACCAGCAGTGCAGTTACCGCTTCAGCCTTAGTCCTCATAAACTGCGCTTCATCATCGTTCTCAACTTTGTACTCACCTTTCTCCTTCCTCTAGTCATCATTACCTTCTCCTATGTGGCCATCATTCGTCACCTGAAAGAGCATCACGACTTTACCGTCCTCTACACTAATCAGTACCGTCAAAATCAGTGCCAGCTGATGACGGTATGTGTACGTTTGTACAATGAAAGTTTCTTTAATTTACTAAAAACTTTTAAAACATTCCTGCAGATTCAAACTCACCCACCTCTTGTTAGAAGAAACTCATGCTCATTTAAAAATCGATCAAAGGTGTAGAGNGTATGTGTACGTTTGTACAATGAAAGTTTCTTTAATTTACTAAAAACTTTCAAAACATTCCTGCAGATTCAAACTCACCCACCTCTTGTTAGAAGAAACTCATGCTCATTTAAAAATCGATCAAAGGTGTAGAAAAAAAGTTAAATTTTGCCAACTTTGTATTTTACATTTCTCTTTTTTCCTTGCAGACAATAAAGATGATTTTCGCCGTCATAGTCCTTTACTGTCTCTGTTGGTTTCCACTGAAACTTCTGCAATTTCTCCTCAACTTTGGCATTCTCTCCTACTGTACTGAAACAGAGTTTTACTTGATGCTCTATGGGTACATTGCCTGTCACTGGTTTGCAATGGCCAACAGCTTGTATGCACAAAAAAACAATGAATTTCAGAAAAACAAAACATTTAATCTTTTACTTTGTTTCAGAATAAACCCTTGTATATACAGTTTTATGTCTAAAAGCTTTCGGGTTAGTAGGAAATTATTTAAATTATAAAAGCTAACAGTTTTATTGTCATTTCAGGATGATTTAAAACGACTATCAAGTAGTTGGTTTTGAACAAGTCAATTTAAAAACTGCAATTTCTGCCAAATTCAAATATATGCATTTTTTAATTTTTAAAATTGTTGCACACATTTGAGTTAACTTTTTAAATTATTGTGATGATTTTTACATTTCCTTTTGTATGCATTGAATTTATTTTATGTGTTTAACTATTAAAATTGCTATATTTTTATTACCATAAATTATTAAATTAGACAGTGTTTTATTTTTAGAAAAATTTAAAATAATAGTTTTTAGATGATATAACTAATTTGTTTTTTGTTTTGTTTAAAATTCGCGTAATTTTGCAAACGTTTATTGACCGAGCCTTTAACCTAGACATTACTTTAAATGAGCCTAACATTTTTAATTTAATATAATAAAATGAAAAAACGTACTAATGGTGTTTTTCCCTTTTAACTTTCCTAATTATTACTTGCAAAACTAATAAAAAAGTTTGCAAAAAATATAATAGTTTTTACTGTGACAATTTATTGTAATTTTTTTAAAACGGCTTTAAATGGAGAAAATGGAGTATTACCATAAACGATACTCTTTGCTTCCAAGTCTGGTCAGTAAATACTACACCAAACCAGTGGTGAGTACCCTCATCAAACAAGTAACTAAACTGCTGAACACTGTTCCAAGAATTTTAGCTCAAAATATACTTCACCATCAAACGAACACTTCATCACTGACTTATTTTCGCCTTTTCTTTTACTCTTATTTCATTGCCAGCTTTGTGCGGGCCAACGTTCTTTCAGTACTGAGCCACAATGCTTACTACTTCCGACTTTACCAGAACTTTGATGTGGTCCTTCATTTAGTTATACGACTAGATATCATTGACGACTTCTCAGCAATGGCAGTGGTCTCTCTGCTGCCACTGTACGCCGTTTATCTTGACTACCTTTGCTATTGCCAAAGCAACTGCGAAGCGCAGAACATCTTCAAGTTGGCCTACGAAATAATTGTTATCAATCGCAGCCACTTTATTCAAATTAATTTTCGGTCAAATCAAAATCCGTTCACAAGAGCCGTGGAGATACTTCATAATAAAAACGTTCGTTTGTTTCACCGAAATTTAAAGCACTTTCGAACATTGCCCGGGCATATTCGCGTTGAGTTAATTCTTCTTTCATATATATTTGATGTAATACTGGCAGTTTTTCAAATGTTTTCTACACCTTTATTCGTTTTCGTAATTCTTTTTTACCTACACAAAATTAATCAGTTTTTTGGAGCGCTGCAATCAATGGTAGCTCTTGTGGACATGTGCCTAATCAGCTATGGGCTTTTTAATACAGGACGTGTGGCTCTCTTTTTTCTCTACATCTTCAATATTGATTCCATAGGCGAGTACCGGAGACTGAACTGCTTTGCAAGGGCAGTTCTAGCCACTCTCAAAATGCCGGCAAAAGCTCAACGTCGTCGCCGTGGTTTGCTTGAGCGGCAGTTTCTATTTTATCAACGAGAACACCTGGAAACCTATCAGCGATCAGTGGTCATCAATCGCTGTCTTCTCTCGCGCATTTTTCTAGCCACTCTGGTAGCCAACGTTGCTTGCAGTGTTTTTGTCATCTCAATTCTCTTCTACCGAAACATTGGACCGGTAGAGACAATTAGTCTGCTTGGTGTGCTTGCCATGCAGGTGGTTTTCTCAGTTACTGCGCTCCTCTCGGCCGTCTTTCTCTGCAGTACAATGTACCGACTCCGAACAACTGTTAATCGAGTTCAGCTGGTGATTAGCAATGTCATTGTCAAGTGGAAACTGCTATCTTTTTACGAATTAATTGAAAGTAAGAAAAAGTTTTACTTTACAGTAGGTCCATTGGGAAAAGTGACAAAAAACGGGTTGTTAAAGGTATTTGAATATTAAGCAGAATTTATTTTGTTAAAACTTCCTTACTTTTTTAGTTTGCTCTACTTTATTTCGGGTATTTAATGCAAACATTCAAGTTTATGCATAATTAGCATAGTTTCAAGCAATAACAAGCTGCCTTGTTTGATAATGTTAAATAAGGTTCCAGTCAGTGCAAAAGATAAAAAAGGTAATTACTTAGAAATAAAGAATACTGGTTTCTGATTGTTGACATTCAATTAAATCAATAGCTTTGCTGTTTTCAGGATTTTAAGACTAACGAACTTTAAACAACCTATCTGCAATAGTTCAACATGCAAATTGAAAGAAGAACGGGTTTGCAGTTGAAAATGGGAAAAAGAGATGCTGAAAACCGTTGATGTGAAAAAATACACAATGACACAATCATCCGTAAAAAATGATTATTTAACGATTCTTAATACCAACGGCGCATAAGACACTGAACAGTTTTGACAGGAGAACCGGTCTTTATTTTGCGCAATAAACACCAGTGCAACCTTTGGTCATCGAACCGACAGTTTTCCTGGGGTGCTTAGTGAACTGTCAGCTAGACAAAGGCGCCATTTGAAAGGGTGCACTGAACAGAAACAGACTTTCTCCTTGAAAAAACTAAAAATATCACCAAAATGATTTTATCATTCACTAACTTCATTTTAAGCTTGACTCTCATTCAAGCAGTCTTTGGCAAAGAAGAGAAAACGAGCCAGTACAACTGCTCTTCGGTTGAACTAGATAAACTCGATCAAATTAGCGCTCGAATTCTCTCGCTGACTGAACACCAGCGCCGGTTTCCCGAGGCAGTAGTGCAAATTCAGCGATACTGCAAGTAAGTCATCCTCATTGTTGTTGTTGTTGCTTTTGCTTTGAAACGTAATTGGTCTAATTCCCTTCTTTTTCTGCATCTCATCTTCTGTCATCTGCTTTAAATCAAACAGGGAAACGAAGGAGGACCTGTCTCTGGTTGCCCAGCAAAGCGGCAAATGCCTCACAGGTGCGTCTAGGCAATTTGCCAACGTCCTCCTCTACTCGGTGAAGGCGAACATGAAGCGGTACTGCAGTATGCGCAATCGACGGCACATTCGCCAGTCACTGCTGATGGGCCGTTGCATGAATCGAAACCTGCGCCCCAGTGAGCACTGCCTGGCCGCCTACATTGACGCCCTGCAGCGAGGCAAGCTGGCGCCGCAGAGAGAGCACCGCATCGGCTACGCCTGCTGCCACTACTTTCAGCTGATCAGCTGCCTCGAGTCGGTGACCAGAGCGGCCTGTTCCGCCCGACAGGCCGACCTCATCGGCGACTTTATTCGGAACCTCTTCAGCGATGTGGTGGCAGCCGCCTGTGCCGACTTTGAAGAGCACTCTGATGTCTGTGAGCGACTGCCCGAGGCACCCAAGGTTCAAGGGCCGGAAGAGCCAAAAACAGCAGCAGTGAGAACGTTCACACTGCCTTTGGTCGAGTTGTGGAACCATTTGTAGAAGTGCCATGTTTTGCAGATGGCTTATCATCAATAAATACAAAAACATTAATAGGAAAAAGGGACGAATAGAGTACGTTCTCCAGTACAGTTTGTGCACTTTGCTGCACCCTCAAGTGTAGCTTTATTTAGTTGCTCGATTAGATAAGTGGCCTGCATGCGGGTTGTTTGATTGTCATTTTTTCGTCTCTATCATCAAAAACCCGTCAACCAGTTTGCCCTCTTCTGTTTGCTTTCTTAGACATTCATTGAAATGAAAGACGATAGTCTTTTTGTGGTTATCAATGTTGTGAATCACCTTGAGCATTTATTTAGCAAGCACTTGCCTCATTTGTCAACAATTTTAGTTTTTGCAATAAAGCGAGTTTTTTTTATTGTCATACTAAAATGTCCGAAAAGGTAGGTCTTTTTTGTTTTTAATAGTAACAATTACATTACAGCTAAATCAATCTTTCTTTGCAGGAGTCAATAAAATGTCGAGCAGCAGTATTGTACAAGGAGGGTGAGAAAATGGTGGTGGAAGAGGTGCTGATTGCCCCACCCACCGGAGACCAGGTTCGAATTCGAATGGTCAGCGCGGGCATTTGCGCCAGTGACGGACACCTCGCCTGGGGAGAGCAGTTTCTGGCGGACTACCCCGGCCACAGTACGCCCATTGTGCTCGGCCATGAGGGCGCCGGCGTTGTCGAGTCCGTCGGAGAGAAGGTGACCAGTGTGCAGGTGGGCGACCACGTCCTCACCACCATCACGCCCGCCTGTCGAGACTGTGAGAACTGCTCCAGTCCGCTGACTAATCTGTGCAGCACGCAAAGCTTTTTGCACTTGGCCTATGTACCCAATAAGAAGCTGCTCAATGGAACCGATGTCAAGGGAATTGGCGGATTGGGCGTTTACAGCGAATACACTCTTCTGCGACAGTCGCAAATTGTGAAGGTAAACTGTGATTTCTTAAATTTTAGCACTTTTAAGCACTAATAAACGTTTTTTTGGCTAGATAAATCGTGCGGCCAATCTAGAAAACGCTGCCATCATCAGCTGTGCGGTTGCCACAGGGTAATATTTGCTTTTTTTATTTTGAAAAAATAAGAATCTACCTAAACTCAATATTAATTTTTTAGATACTTTGCGGCACAAAATCAGGTAAACTTTTGTTTACTACTACTGTTGTACTAGCACAACTCTCATTTTTTTGGTTTGCAGGCCAAAGTGCAGCCCGGCACGACTGCCGCTGTCTGGGGACTAGGTGCGTCAATTAATTTGTACCATTACATTAGCTGTCTTAATGATATTAATTAATCTCGTTCACAGGTGCAATCGGCCTGAATGCAGTGTACGGCTGCAAAATGGCCGGTGCCAAGAACATTATTGGCATTGACATAAACGAGGACAAAAAAGAAGTGGCTCTGGCGTTTGGCGTCACTGAGTTTGTCAACCCAAAAACGCTCGACGTGCCCATTGATGAGTACCTGAAGCAGAACTACCCGAATGGAATTGACTACGCTTTTGACTGCATTGGCAATCAGACTGTCATTGACACTGCTCACAAGTCACTTTCGCTCTATGGAACACTGGTGCTGGTGGGAGTGCCTCCAAAGGGCACTTCACTGCTGGTCGATGTGGCCAACTTTCTCACCGGAAAAAAGGTGGTCGGCGCATTTCTCGGCGGCAAAGACTGTCAAGAGGGGTACACTGAGCTGGTGGAGATGTACGTTAGCGGTCGTTATGATGTAGACCGCCTGGTCACCAACACCTTCAGCCTGGAGCAGATTAATGAGGCTTTTCAGTTTTTAAAAGAAGGAAAGTGCATTCGCTCGTTGATTCGTTTCTAGTCATTTTTCTTTACATTAATTTCTGGCTTCTTTATTAATTTTGTAGCTGTATGCTAAAAATTTGGTGTAATACAATATAAACTGAAGGAAAAATAATAATGAAAGTTAAATAATTTGCATGAAATAATCAAAACAAAAGATTTATACTTTGAAAAAGGTACCCATTGTGACAATTTGTGCCGGTCCGTAGGTTATCCCGTAACGATTCTTTACATGGAGCATTGCAATAGTGTTTGCAGCTTTGACTTGACCCATAACACTCAGTGCTCCATTTGTCGATCTCATGTACACTTTTTGAAGGAGCACTGCAGACCGGTGAAGTTTTGGTCCGTACTGCATGGCAATTAGGTGCATGCCGAATATGTAGCTGAGTTGAGCTAGAATCATCACAACAAAGATAATGGCCGTCATTGGCTCAATGCGACCCAAGAGAATCGAGAACATCAAGTGTGCGTTTATTGGAGTGTAGATGAGCAAATTTTCAAGCAGCTGCTTCCCGAAAATGCTGTTCTGACTGAACACTGACTGTCGGCAGAAGTAGTGAAAACGGTAAAACTTGGCCAGCTTACTTTCCAAGTCGCTGCGGATTTTTCTACTCGATAACTTATTAAAGTTTTTAAAATTCTTTCTAAAAACAACATCTTTTTGAACAGCTTCTTCGCAGAGAAAAAGCCGTCTCAGGTAGTCGTCTGCTTGCTTCAGTCTAATGAAAGTGATATAAGCCGACATTGTTGGTAATATGATTGCATACTGAAATACGGATGAAAATGCAAATATAGAAACAGTGTTGTGAAGAAAGTTAAAATTGATGATGATTATTTCAAAAAGACCTTGAAATGTATAAAAATAATAGTCGATGTTATTTGTTATTATTTTAAAGTACATCATCAATATGTAGCAGCACATGAAAACTGAGTGACAATAACCGTGGTAAATATGTGAAATTATATCAAATTAGCTCACTGTACCTGAAACAATGCAACAGTAGACGAGAGTGTTTGAAAAATAAATTGTGAATTTGTAAATGAGCGCACAGACATCAATGCCTTTAATAGTGCTCTGAAGGAATAAATTGCTATCTTTTAGAATAATTATCCGGTAGAGAAGCCGCGTGTAGTCTGAATTGGTGGAGTGAAAGTACACCTGATTTAACTGCAACCAAGCGCAAATGTACAGTGAAAAGCCAATCATGTTAAATTCAATTGACACCTTGGCTACATGATAAAAATCAAGAAAAACTACTCGAATTGTTTCAGACAGATTTGCAAAGTAAAATAAAAGGTATTTTAGCATTATAAAGTGAAACGAAAGTTTGATGAGAAAAAGCGACAATGGTGTTCCGTTTATCTGTTGAATCAACTGTATGGCATTAAAATAACGCTCAAAATAGGCGTAACTTTTAAATCCATAAAGTCCATCTAAAAATATGTTTAGAAGTGGAGTTGTGGTGTTAACGTTAAACAGATGAAAAAAATTGGTAAACTTGCAAAAAACTTTCATTATTTAAAAATATACAAATAATAAAAAATGTTATAAAGGTAAAACCGTCTTTACACTCGGTACAACATGAGCAAATAGATAAAAATGTACATTGCAGATTCTTTTTACGTACGCAAAGTTTGGCAGAACTTTTAAATACTGTAATTTCTTTAAAACGGGAATACAAAGTACAAAATAAAAAATTAATTAATTAAATTGAAAGTTCTTGAAAAAAATTCAATAAAAACAAGAATTTAATTTGCACAAATGTTTTTGAAAAGTTGAAATTTAGTTCTCGACAAATTTAAAATTGATAATTTACGCAACAAAAATCGTTTTAATTGAGTGATTGTGTCATTGCTTTACATTAATAATTAATAACTTGAAAATTGTTTCAATGAAAATAAAAAGCAAAGTTGACAGTCAACTACGTAGTAAAAAATGCGTTTAAAGACTAAAATGTCAGTGAAGTGTATTTCCTTTCTAAACGGAAGTAAAAATATCAGATTTTTCAAACAAATTTTTGAAACACACTACTAATTTAATTTAAATATTAACGTGATTCTAAAATATAAAATTAATTGAAAAAATTTTGGAATTAATTTTTGAATTAGGAAGTTTTGAACTATTAATTATTTAGCTTAACAATAAAAATATTTTTGAACTTTATAAAAAAATAAAAGTTGTCGGGAAAATTTTTTATATTTTTATGGCGTCGCAAGCGTTCACTATTCCTTTAGAATGGCCAGAGTATTGCAAGAAAAGTAACCCTTGGTGTGAGGGCTTTCATGAGGCTCTTGTAAAGGCAGTTCCCAAGTATGACAATATTAATTTGAAAACCATCATCAGTGAGATTGAAGGAAAGATGAATGACAATGTTAATAACCCAATGACAACTACTATTAAACAAGATGTTGCAACAAAACAAAATTAGAAGCGGAGCCTATTGCTCCTGATGGTCCCAAAAAACCTAATGGTGGCAGTAGAAAAAACAACAAATCAAAGGACACCCTAACCATCATCATCATCGTTTTAGCATTAATTTTTATTAGACTTCTTGGACTATACTTTTGTTGCTTTCGGAAAACTACGGATTCAAAGAACAAGCCTAGCTCAAGTAATTATTTAGGCAGCAAAAAACAGTCAAGTTCTAAAATGTCTACATCAAAAGCAAAAGCAAAGCAGAGTAATTTGAGGCAAAAAAACAAAACCAGTCAACAAAAAATCAGTAATGAATCGCTCAAAAAAGAGCACATTAAAATTAAAGCATCGATCAACGAAAGGCATCACAAAGACAAAAAACAGCTCAAACAAAAGCAAAAGCGGACAAAAGAAAGGAAAAGGCTGATGCATCAAATCAGCCAATACATGTCATGTACACAAAGTTATTGTGATAACAAAGTTGCTTTGGTAATAAAAAAATTGGGTCAAAGTTTTGGTTTGAAAAATAAGGCAAAGTTTACAAAATGTTCAAAAGATCAATAGCATTCGTTTTACCTCAGCCAGAGCATCTTTTTCTTTCCACCTGAACTCCACGTTAGGTGACACCGACTGAAGCTCCACCAGCTCGTTTCATTGTCATAGCCGAGAAACTTTCTATTAGTCCTCTGCGGACTGACGACGGCGGCAATCGACTTGACATGTCCACTGAACTGCTGCATTCGAGGCCACTGAATGAAGTACCTCTGAAACTCGACGTCTATCAACTCCATGGGAAGCTCTCGTTCAATGTCGCCAATCTGCCAGATGTCAAAGTGTTTACCCTCCACTAGATTCAACTGCTCCAGGTCATTCGGCAGTGAGCTGTAGAAGCGGCTAAAGTTGTCCGCAAAGCCTTCCACTAGTTTTTCGCGCGATCTGCCGGGAAAGTAGCCAAGCAGCTTCTTGGAGATCTGCCGCTTGCCCGGAAAACGCTTTCTACCGGCAATCTTCCTGCACTTCTCATCTGGCGGGTCAAAGTACCCGAAGACGGTGATGGAGAGAAGGAAGGGCGAGATGCCGGCGAGGTGCACCAACTTTGACTGCTGGTGCCGGCGCCGATAGGTGGCCGTGTGAATGAGCAGGAACTTGAAAGACTCCGGCGGGAAGGTGTCCAGCAGACGGCGGTGAACGGTGCTCTCGATGGCCAGCGTCTCCGACTTGAGCGTGGCCAGGAAGTCGGTGTCGCCGCGCAGAAACTCCAGGTCGTACAGCTTCAGGTAGTGCAGTCGCTTGAGGAAGTAGTGACCGCGGTGGGCGATGCCATTGCCGCCCAGCAGATTGGAGCCCCAGTGGAAGGCGAGGCAGAGGTGGTCGAGGAGGCGGCGCCAGCGAGTGCAGGTCACCCGAAGCTGCACCCACTCGGGCAGAGTCAGCCGGCGGAAGATTAGCAGCAGACAGTCGTCCGGCAGGTCGGTGATGCTTAGGGTGACGGTGGTAAATGAAGTTTGAGTACTTTTACTTCTTGTTGAATCATCTTCCCTCAAAGTTGCCGACATTGATGTTGACACCGGTTGACAAGTGGGTCAAGCTTTCTCTCGCTCTCTCGGGTCGGTTCGGGTGATTGCTTGGCTGAAAATGCCACTCTGTGAACCACAGCTGAGAATCAACGACAGATGAACAGAGAGACGTAAACAGTCACAGTGTAGTAGTTTGAGGGATACTTCTGCTCACTTCTTCTCTCTCTCTCTCTTGCTGTTGTATCGCGGTTGCCACTGGTAACCGNTGCTTGGCTGAAAATGCCACTCTGTGAACCACAGCTGAGAATCAACGACAGATGAACAGAAAGACGTAAACAGTCACAGTGTAGTAATTTGAGGGATACTTCTGCTCACTTCTTCTCTCTCTCTCTCTCTCTCTCTCTCTCTCTCTTGCTGTTGTATCGCGGTTGCCACTGGTAACCGTCTCTCTCTCTCTCTCTCTCTCTCTCTCTCTCTGCTGGTGAACTGTACAACACATGCTGCCGTTGCTATATGCTGTTGCTGCTGTGTGGTACACTCTACTGAACGAGAAAAGGAATCACAAAGGCCAAGAACATATGATCAACTAAGGGGAAGAGACCGAGTGCAACACTCTTATCAACACTGTTGATGAGGGGGAGAGCTGCCTGGTAGAAGCAAAAGCTTGTGAAACAAATTGTACAGCTATTGTTTTGGTAATATACAAAAATGACAGTTCAAAAATCAAGGCGGGTAAACAATGATGTTCCGTCTGTTGATGATCGATATCAGCTTCGCTGCTTCCAGTTTGTTGCAGTACAGATTCTGAAATGCGTTCAGTGCAGAGAGCTTCAGTTCGCGTTCTTTTCCACAGGGCTCCTTTTGTAAAATGGCCTCCAACGTCTTTATAGTCCAGACCATCTCCGCGTGAAAGGTCCACAAGTTGCAGTAGTATCCTCGTTGGACGCGTTCACAGACTG